CTGGGAGGCTCAAAATGAGTACTTTTTAACCATATGGTTTTGTAACTGAGAAATGTCCCCACCTAACTAGACGCTGTGAAATTTAGGTTTTAGATGAGAGCAAACACATTTTGTTACACATTAGGAAACTCAGACTATAGATTTAACTTTGACAGAGAAGAAAACCTTAATCTTACATATATTTCCTTCCCTTCAACCTGGATGTCTGTGTGATGGCCTCAACAAATAATGTGGTAGGAGTGATGTCTCATGACTTTTCAGGTGAAGTTATAAAAAAGCTTCTGCCTGGCTCATTGTGAACACTTGTTTTGGAGAACAGCTCTGTGTTGTGAGGCAGCTTAGGCACCATGAAGGCCACAAGGAAATGTGTTCTGATCAAAAGACCCAGACAAGACCCCAACCAACAGCTGGCATCAACTGCCAGATGTGTCAGTGAGCAAACTTCCATACTGGGGCTTGGCAGATTTTGACTTGTGTCCAAATCTAGTCAATTGCCTCTTTTTATAAATACAGTTGTATTGGAACACAAATCATGTCCATTTTTCTATGTCTGCTTTTGTACTACAATGGCAGCATTGAATCATAACAGAGACCATAGAGCCAGATAAAAGTCGAGATAATTTATTATTTGGTGCTTTGCAGAAAAAAAAATGCCAACTTTTACACTAGATGATTCTAGTCCTCAGTCTAAGCCACCTCAGATAAAATCAAGTGGAGCAGAGACACATGGTCTCCATCAAGCCCTGCCCAAATCTTAGATTTTTAAGCCAAATACTGTAGTTTGAAGCCACTACATTTTGGGACAGTTTGTTTCATAGCAAAAAAGAATCAAAAGTATTTTTTATCATTTTTTAAGTATGCTGAACTCAAGAGAGCTTGCCCATAGCTGTTAATTTTGTATTCCAATTCTATTGCTTGGCACTTATCTCTGTGTGTACCAACTTGCTGCAAATCATTAGCAGCAAGTGTTGTAGATAATCACAAGAAAGGATTTTGCTGTTCCCAATTCTAACAAGATTTAGATTAGACGTTCCTTTAATTCAGATTTCAATAAAACCACAGTGCTAGTTTTATCTCCAAGAAAAGATAATTTTATGCTATTATCTAGTAACACCTCATTAAACTTGGCCTTCAAGAATTGCTTGCTGGCAGCATTATAGTTAAGTGAGTAGTCTGATTATCCTGCACTGTCAAACAAAGCTTTGATGTTACTAGTAACACTTCCTGTAATATACATATGCAAACCGTTCTTCTCTGCATTAAAATAATTAAAGCCAAAAATGCAAACACAAATTAAATATAGAAGCAGATCTAAAACTATTTCTATTATTAAACGACTTTGAACTGTTGCTTCAGCAAAGCATCAGCTCTCACATTAAATTGTACATGATTTTGTGGATGATTATGGTTTCATTTGATAATTTGTTTTTACAATTGTATAAGCTTTAAGTTTAGGACTTCTGTGTGTGCTTGTGCGCACGCACGCACACACAACATCAGAATATTCAGTAAAGCAAGTCTATAATAAATATTTTTCACATAAAAGAATCCATAAAATAAAAGGACAGCTATTGCATGATTCCACTTATATGAGATACCTAGAATTCATAGAGACAGAGTAATGGTTACCAGGGGCATGCGGGGAAACTGAAGGGATGGTTAGTGTTTAGTGGGAGTGGAATTTCAATGTGGGATCGTGAAGTTTCTGGAGATAGATAGTGGTGGTAGTTGCACAGTAGTGTGACTCTTCTTATTGACACTGAACTTTAATGGTTAAAATGCTAAATTTTACAACACCAACATTTTATCACAGTAAAAAAGAGGATTGGGTATTATCCAAATATGAGAAATCCCAGAGTAGGTTAAAAGCAGCTCCCCTAGACCCTTTCCCTATCTGTTTAACCTTGACCTTTGGGATTTTAACACTCAGATGGTGAAAAGAGCTTTTTGGGATGGGGGCGGGGATTTGAAGAATTTGTGGCCCAGGAAAATATCTGTCCTCCTTCAGACTCAGTCAGAGCAACACTAGCTCCAGCCACCAAGTCTTTTTGATAAAGGGTCCCTTTATAGCCCCTGTGCTGGGCAGAAAGAAGTGATCACAAGGGGGGATCCTCTCAGAAATCACCACCAGCACACACAAACATTTACTAGCTCTCTGGCAACTCAGATGCTTAACTGTAACGTATATTTATTGTGGTTTTGTTTTGCCCCAAGTGAGAACCCCTCCTTCTAGAAGAGAGGCATCTCTGAATGACACTGGAGGCTGAGATGCCTCCCACAGGAGGACAGTGGCATGGTGGAGGAAGCAGGGTACTCAGAGGGAGATCCAGAGGCAGGCACTGGAAAGAAATGGCAGCAAACACTCAGTGCCAGACTCTGTGCCCCAGTCTTCGTCTCCTTTAAATTCTTTGCGGGTCTTTATCTTCTTCAGACCTTCCCACTTATACTAATTGTTTTTATTTCCATCTTATAGAAAACTGAGCCCTGAGAAATTAGCTCACTTGCCTAATGTGTCATACAGCTCCTAAGAAACCCCTAGTCCCTGCCCCTTCCATCTCCCTGTCCCATCAGTCCTGGCCTCCTTCTGATGCTGACCCTCACTGCTTGGTAATGGCTCTGCCTGTCTATACATCAGTTTCCTTATCCAGAGATATCTTCTTCACAATCTGTAAGGATTGTGCTCTCTCTGAGCAATGTAAGAATTTGGTAGTTAATAAGGAAACCCAGAGAACTGGAACCCAGTGGGGGAAAAAAAAAAAAACAGGAAAGAGAGCTCTGACCAACTACCCCCAACTGAGCAATGGCAGAAGGCCATGCCAGGGACCCTTATGGTGCCAAAAGAGTCCCCAGACATTATCCAGGGGCCACTGATATGAGAACTTCTTTCTTCAGAATTTCTAACGTAACATGCTGATTGCATCTAGGAACAAAGCCACTCTCTAACAAAATTAGCCATGCTAAACCCTCTCCCCAGCAAAACAACACCCACAGCTTTTGCTAGCCATGCTATTTGAAAATGGTTCTAAAAATAATGTCACTAGCAACTTCTATTTGCCCCTTCCCAGGAGAAGGTAAACAAGTAAAATCAAAGGCACTGCTAAACCAGCTGCCTCTTCCTGTATTTGTTTCTTCTCTTAGGGACAGCCCACTCCCCCACCCCACCCCTCCTCTTCCTGCTCTCTGTAGTTCCTCCATCAGTTCCTCTCCCCTATCAAATTAGACACAGAGGCAACATTAGTCATTGACATTTGTTGAGTACTTTGTTATACTTTAGTGTAAATTAATTTTTTGTCTAATGATATCCATTTGGCCTTTTCAAGAGTTGGATCAGTGCTCTCCAGTAACCAATCCAAGGAGCTAAGAACTGGAAGAGGACCGAGGAGATTATGCTAAGTGACTTGTAGAAGCCATGGCAATTCCACACCTGAAGAGACTATACATGCCAAGGACAGGGCTCACACCCTGGCTTTGGGCCATTAGATGGTAATGATGCCACTTTCCAATACTGCAGCTGGTTCCAAGCAATTGGCCTGTCCCTGAAGTATGTGATCTGACTTTGGTCTCTTTCTGGCACCAAGGTCTTTGAGAAGCTCATAATCACCATTTTCATGACAGCAATCAACTCTTGTTATCTACCTTTAACTTACTAGACATACTTATTAGATCACTCAGAGAGGGGCTGAGGGTGTAGCTCAGTGGTAGAGTATATGCATGCATAAGGCCCTGAGGTGCCCCCACCACCACCCAAAAAATCACACAGAGAAATATTAAAAGTGGAAAGAGAAAAACTTTCTACCTCAGTAGTGCTCCATCTGATCAAACATTTATCCAATATTCAGCAAGAGCCTTGGCTCCACTTTCAGGCCCTTTGCAATCCCTTTGGGATTTCTCCTCTTTGAGGCTGCTCTCTCTTCCTAGCCCTTCCCTGAAGGAAGCCTGTCTGGGTACTCGGATTACAACATCCTCCCATTCCTCCTTCTCCACCTGGAAAAGTTCAAGCTCCCAGGTCATCCTTCTGGGAGGCCTTTTCTAAGTCTTTACCCAAAGTTGATGCCCTGCCCCCATGCCAGGTATGTCAAATACAGGCATACCTTATTTGTCATAAGCCTGTTGAAGAATCAATGCATTGTTCCCATTGTTATTTGCCCACATGCCTTTTCTTCACCAGCTGGTAAGCTCTTGAGAGTTGGGATAGGTTTTATTTATTTACTTCCAACTCCCACAATACCAAGCCCAGCAAGCTGCAACTACCACCTGGACAGCAGGTAGAGATTGAACAGAAAGATGCTCTTACCTTATCTGAAAACCCCAGCTGTCAAGACTAACCCTTGTGGAGTTCCTGGGCAATTTCACATCCTCTCTTCTGCCCTGTGCTAGGGCTTAAATGATCCATCATTGCAGCATCACTAGATGAAGGCAGGAAGGTGAGGGGTGGGGTGTTATTAGGGGAGTAATGAGGAGTTATGTGTGCAGGGGGGTGGAAATACCAACATATGTCTAGATTCCTCTTAAGCACTGATCAGTTCCCTTTTTTCTGCTTACTTACTTACTTACACACACACACACACACACACACACACACACACACACACAAATGTCTCCTTAAGAGAATGTGACAAGGGCCAAATGGATAAAGCCCATTTCCATTTGTCCTAAAGGTGCCTTCCTATCCAGCTTCAATAAAATTTCGTCCATAGAATGGAATCTGAACTCTGGGATGTTTTCTATCTGCTCTCCTTCCTTCAGAGTCTTGCCACTCAAAGTATGGTTCTAGGGCCCGTATTAGTATCACCCGGGAACTTGTTCAAAATTCAGACTCTCAAGCCCCACCCAGATTTGCTGAATCAGAATCTACATTTTTACAAAATCCCCATATGACTCACGTGCACATTAAAGGGCAAGAGGACAGATCTTTAGGCTACAGTATTTCACGGTGGGTGTGTTTGTCTCTATAAACTCTGGGTTGCTCCATCTGATCCCACTGAAATTAGTCAAATTCCTCATGTTTAGGTGTTTAGCAGAAAGCCCATTATCTGGCAGTCCTTTCTTCTTCAAGACATAGGGAGTTGACCAGTAAGCCCCAACTAGTAGAAACCTGGACCTCAGACTCAGGCTTCTGTCAGGGTATCTGAAGTTTCCTCTATATTTACTAGACCATGAATACCTGTGGTCAGATGTGGTAGGGTATAGACTAGATATAGCAAAATTGAGGCCTTCTCATAATCGCTGAAGAACTTCTGCAGCCAGAAGTAAATTCATCAGATAATTTCAAGAATTAGCAAGCCACTTGGAGTGGGGTTGGGGAAGTCATGTGACCTGTGAAGTGGAAGACCTACAACATGGCCTTGGTTGAATGTTTTTCATAAAGTCTGTAGAGACCTCTGAGGTTAAAGCATAGTAAACCCTAGAAATCCTCCACAGAGCAGTAGAGCAGCAAGGACAGCTGAGGGGCACCTCTAGCTACACTACTTAAATGAGGAATGACATCTTTCCCAAGCCTTCTAAAGATCAGAGGAGTTATGGATCTTGGCAGAGCATATTTTGGGGGATGATAGGAATAGAATTCACCTGTAAAAGGAGTCAGGCCATCACTGAAATTATACAGAAATTGGCCAGGATCTATAACAAAGCTCATCCCTGGCAGATAAACATCCATGGCACAAGAGAGTAGGCAGCAGCCTAGGAGTTAGGCTGCAGTGTGTTCATGGCCAGCTTCACATGGAGGGATCTTATGAAGCCTCAGAGAACATTGTGTGGGGTCCAGGATATTCCAGTCTGTGCTTCAGAATGAGACCATATCTTACGATCAAGAACACAGAGGCAGGGCCAGGCATGGTAGCGCACACCTCTAATCCCAGCGGCTCTGGAGGCTGAAATAGGAAGATCATGAGTTCAAAGCCAGCTTCAGCAAGAGCGAGGCTCAAAGCAACTCAGTGAGACCCTGTCTCTAAATAAAATATAAAAAAAGAGAGAGAGAGAGAGAGAAGGGGGCTGGGAATGTGGCTCAGTGGCTGAGTGCCCCTGAGTTCAATCCCTGGTAACCCACCCTCTCCACCATAAAAAGAACATAGAGGCAGGGCTGGGGTTGTAGCTCAGTGGTAGACCCCTTGCCTAGCATGTGTGAGGCACTGGGTTCAAGTCTCAGCACCACATATAAATAAGTAAAATAAAGGTCCACTAATAACTAAAATGATATTTTTTTAAAAGAAAGAAAAATGAGTTCAGAGGATGAACTCTTATGCTAAGAAAGCCCTAAGTAACAGAACAGAGTAAGGCAAAGAAACAAAACCTACTTTCATTAATTTTCTTTTTTTAATATTTATTTTTTAGTTATAGGTGGACATAATATCTTTATTTTACTTTATGTGGTGATGAGGATCGAACCCAGTGCCTCACTCATGCTAAGTGAGCGCTATACCTCGGGAGCCACAACCCCAGCCCATGAATTTTCTAAAGAGATGAAAGAGAAAGGAAGAAATTGAGGTTCAAGGTGATGAAAGTGGGATGGAATTAGAACAGAAGACACATTCTGTCCACAGTTCAATATTACCCCAAGGACCCCATGTCTTTTGAGATTGTATCATTTGCTTTCTTCTTTCATCTTTTCTTGATGTGCAGGAAGTAATATCTCATCTTCTTCTCCCTAGTTGGATTCTAATAAAACCTTTCTTCCTCTGTCTCAGAATACTTTGGCTTTTCCTACTGAATGCAAAGGATGCCAATGGTCGCTGTGTAGAGGACATCACTGACCCTTAAAGTATCCAATCAGAGGTTCCCAAATAAAAGTAAATGACGTGTGCCTTTACAGCATATGTGGCTATATGTATATACATGCATAATGTGTAAAATATAGATTTTTTTGGCAACAATTTTATATTTTTATATGTCTAATATTTGTTACTTTTGTGAAAACAGTCCAAGAATAACTACTTATTTATTATTAAATTGTACCACAAAAACTACCCATAACCATTTCACCTACCTACAACTATTTTTAACTCTCTGGCATTCCTGTGTGCCTTAAAATGACAAATAAACACATCTGAATATAACCCGTGTTGTTCTAGGCCACACCTGTCTGAAATAGAATAGGGTCACAGTAATGGGAAAAGTGGCATTTAAGTGTTGTCACCTTCAATTCTGGGAAATCTGACCACTCTAAAATCCTTCCCAACTATTTCTGGGAGCCCCTAAGCAGGGGTGGGAATGGGGGTGGTCTCCTGTGTCTTCCCAAAGAAGGTTTTTTTTAAGTTACAAAGTGACCTCTCCTTTCTATCCCTCTTTGTGTCCTGAAGCTTTAGAAGTTTTGTTCCTGCAAGTCTATACCCGAGCTGGAACTCCTTTGCCAACATCTACATCACCCTGGTAACTACTGAAACTGACCTCATAAAACTGGCATTTTAAAGAAAAAAAAATTGGAATTTATATTCTAAAATTACAGGAAAGAAAATTCAAAGACAATAAAAGTAAATATACTTAGTTGTACATAGGTCTTTGGATATTTTTGAATCACAGTCTAAATTTTCTGTTTAAATATATATATATTATTAATGCAAGTAAATGTGTCATTGAGCATGTTATTCCTGACCACTTAAAAATTTCTATTTTATGGCAAAAATATACATAACTGAGTGGAGATGCATTATTTATTACTCAGTTAACTGTGCTTTGAGGAAGCTGAGCTGCTTAAGACATCTAACACTAATTTATTTATATTTAATTTATATTTTATATCTGTTAGTACATTAGAAGAAATAGCTTCTGGTGACAAAATGTACTAGAGAGACTGAAAAGATGGTAGGAATTATGTATTTTTAGACTTTGTTTAGAAAATCAGGAAATGTGAGATAAATGTGTTTCAAAAATGAAAGGTATATAAATTCAGTGACTTAATAAAAATCCTTTTTTTCCCAGATGCATCTTATATATTTATGTATTTACTTTTCCTATTTTAGAAAAAAATTAGTGGTCTTTCTCGAAGTGCTTATATTGCTATTAGACTTTCAGTTCTGTTTGTTTTGATATGGTCTGATGTGGGTTGAGTTTCACTTTGTCTTGCTTTATTACATTTTCAAAAATATTACAAAAGTAAAGGGAATTTCTTAATTTTATTTGTTCTTTTATTTTCCATTCTACTAATGATTAATGTTCAGATTTTTCACTTTCCCGGCTCCTTAGTCCTTGGATTTGGAAAAGTATCCTAAGCTCAAGTCAAACATTCCTTGAATGTTGAAGCAGGGGCTATTGTCACCAAGAAGCAAGTTTCCACTTTGGGGACAGGTAAAGGCAGAAGAGGTAGCAATATCGAGTTTTCATGTCAGCATCTGTGGTATCCAGAATTTAAGGCTGGGTGGCAATATGAGCTGTGGTGGCCAGGGGTTAGTGGCAGCTACGACAGCATCCTGCTGGACACAGTGGCATGTATCTGTAATCCCAGCAATTCAGGAGGCTGAAGCAGGAGGATCACAAGTTTAAAGCCAGCCTCAGCAACTTAGTGAGGTCCTACATAACTTAGCAAGGCCCTGTCTGAAAATAAAAAGGGCTGGAAATGTGGCTCAGTGGCAAAGCACCCCTGGGTTCAATCCCCAGAGGAAAAAAGACAAAAAGAGCAGCATCCTCACCATGTTTGGTCTGGGTATGCTTTGGGGGCTCCCTTGCGTGGCTGTCTTGAAGTCTGCCTTCTTTTCAAACCTGGTTTTGCACACTGCCCAGTAGTTGTGTGAGTTCCCAATATCCTTTCAACAAATTCCTCTTCCATTTAAGGCTTGATCACCTCTGTGGCTTGCAAGAATATTAGCTGATAGAAGTTCATTGTTAAAAAAAAAAAAAAGAAAATTAAAAATACAATCAAGGCAAAAGGAAAAAAAATACTCATAATACCTTAATCAGATAACAATCTTTAACATTTTTGTTTATATAGAATTTTGTTTGCATAGTCTTTCAGAATTTGTTTTATCCATCTGCATTCATTAAAATACAACACGTGCACGTACACACACACACACAGTTAGTTAGGATGGTTTTCAATCCAAGTATCAGAAAGCCCAATTCACATTGCCTATAATGCAACTATAATGCTATTCTTGGCATCCTGACCCCCAACCTTACTTAGGCTTTGTAGACCTCAGAGTACAGATTGACATCCTTAATGATCCTGGCTTTCCCAACCCTATTTTGAGTCTACCAATATCATTTCATAGAGCTATGAGGTCTTACATTCCACTAAACGTAGTGACCACTTCCTAACCGAATGTGACACCATCTGATGCCTGCAGAACTGCAGGCTTTGTGAACCAGCAGAGCGCCATCCATGGGAGGGGCCTGAGTATCTCCAGAAAACATCCATGGCAAATGCTTTTGGACATGGCATTTGAATCTATGCCACATCTACTCTTGCTCTCTTTACAACCTTAACTGCTTAGATCTGAGACTTTACCTGGGATCTTGATTCCCATACTTGCCTTTTCATGGACCTGATATTTTCTATGGTTGTCTTCAAGTCTGTCATTGGGCCACCTTTAATTCTACCCTTTCCTCATGAACTTTCCTACTTTTAATTGTTCTATTGACTTACCGAAGCCAGCTCCTAATTTGTGTCTTGATATTTCTCATTCCACTATTGAACACAGGTCAGGATGTGTGGTCCTTCAGCCTGGTGCCAAGAATTGGGTCAAAGTGCCATTTCTCCTTCTCCCTGTGGGTATTCTGTAATTCTGACAAACCCAGTAAAGGAAAGTCCCAGAAAAATCATCAAAATCTGCATATTATATCAATGGAGGCAATCTGAGAAGATTATGGGACAATTTTTGCTTTTCTCTTTGTAGTTTTCAACATTAAAACATATTCTTAAACAGTGTGATAATTTTGCCATATGCAATACATTGATAGCCACACAGGGCTTATCCATATTAATAAATATATGTTATAATAATGATTTTTAAAGTATATTTTAAACCCAATGAAACTCTTTTACCTTTTAAGGGGGTGACATGAATAGCTTCAATTGGTACAAGGGAAATTAAAAAACTGATAAATCAAAATGTCTATCAGGCTGGGTACATTTGCATTATACCTGTAATCCCTGCAGATCTGGAGGCTGAGGCAGGAGGATCAAGAGTTCAAAGCCAGCCTCAGCAAATGCGGGGTGCTAAGCAACTCAATGAAACCCTGTCTCTAAACAAAATACAAAATAAGGCTGGGGATGGATCAGTGGTCAAGTGCCCCTGAATTCAATCCCTGGTACCCTCGCCCCCACGGCAGCCCTGGAAAAAGTAGTCTATCAGTTCCTGAGTACTACTAATTGCAGAAACCCAAAGCTAAGGGTCCTTTTGTTTTATGAGGGGGCTTCAGTTAATCAAACTACATAAAGACAATCATCTGTGTCTTCCCTATCCCCCAGATTTGGGGTTCTTGGGTTTGGGTTGGGAAGCTAAAGGGAGAGGAAGAAGGTATGCAGATAAAAAATATCTAATGTGTATACAAGCCTCCACTTCACCCCAAGTCTTTAGTGGACTCTACTGCATACTCAAATGTCTCACTGGAGGTTTGGGGAGTTTGGGAAGGAAGGATGATATCACCAAAAGAAAAAAAAGAGTTAAGCTCCATATTGGAAGCATAAGGAAGAGCAAGCTGTTTAAAGTAAGATGCAAATGAGATATCAGAAACCAGAACTGGAGCCAAGTGACAAGAAAAATATGAGTTGTCTGCCCCTAGGATGGCAGAGGACTGTGCTGTCCCCTCAGGATGCAGGGTGGGTTGGAGTAAGGGGCAAGTTATCTTTTAAATCTAGAAGGACAAAGTCACCTCTCCCAACCTCTGGGTTTAATTATTGAGTATTTCACCTTCTACAATCTACTTTTTTTTTTTTTTGTAGGAACCTGTCATTATTTCCATCTGCATTTGGCTGCTGTAGAAGTCACCTACCCAACAGAGAAAAACACAATTAAGGAACTTACTTATTGTGTAGAAGTGACTTCTTGAGCACCATCATTGGTCATCAGGGGTCCATTGACACTAAAGCCAAATGATGTTGCTTAAGAAATCTGCATATTTAAGTTGTACAAGTACCTTGAATATGTCCAAGTGCCTGTGACATTCAAAGAAAGAAAACAAGTATGAATGTGCACTTCTAAACTCAGACGTGAAGGAAAGAAAGCATCTTTTTAATAAGGGTGTCACACTAAATGAATGAACGAACAAAAGAATGAGTTAATGAATCAGTTAACTTCTGAAAAACAATTTCAGAAAATTATTCTAAAGAATAGAACATGTTGATTTTTAAAGTGTTTTCTTTCTTTTCCTAATTGATGAAAATTTGCTTCTCTGACCTGATTTGCTCTTCAACTCGTGGTCATACTGATTTGCATTTAAATTTTGACCTTATATTATCTCACAGGTTCTGAGTCAAATGTCAGGGAGAGGAGTTATGCTTTCAGCTGAATTTAAAGTAGAAATCAAGAATGTTTCAAGCTGGGTGCAGCAAAGCATGCCTGTGATCCCAGCAGCTTGGGAGGCTGAGGCAGGAGGATCAAGAGTTCAAACCAGCCTCGGCAAAAGCCAGGTGCTAAGCAACTCAGTGAGACCCTGTCTCTAAATAAAATACAAATAGGGCTGGGGATGTGGCTCAGTGATTGAGTGCCTCTGAGTTCAATCCCCTGTACTGAAAAAAAAAAATCCTTTTAGTTGTTTCTATGAATCCCCTGTCTGCTCCAACACTCTTAGCTGTAAGCATCAAAGTTTCTAATCTCCATGTTTAGGGTCACTCTGCTTCTGAATTGATCTTAACCAAGTCAGGAATCTTAGACTTACCAGCTAGTGGAGCCAAGGCACAGTCTTAACATTTGTTGTGAATCTCAGGTGCGCAATGGTAACCCAGGTGTGTACTATGCTACTGCAACATGCCCTGTTTGTCCATCTGCACCTGACCTCCTCCTGCTTGCCTAGAGTTCTTACCTGAATGCTGGACCATTTATCCAGAATCTCAGTTCTATCTGGATCTTAGTGGCCTTTTCCCATTTCCCCTGCACCTTTAAAATTAGGCTAGGTGAGGATTTGAATGAACAGGCTTTGAAATATGTGCTCCTATCTCTTCCAGGCATTGAAGAGATAGGAGCACATATTTACCTGGAGATAGTTCTCAGCTAACAGACGGACCTCCCTTCAGGTGATACAGGGAGATGATCCAGTATTCCTAAAAGGATGTCGCTGTGTAGCTAGTCCCAAGGAATGTGTATGGGGCTAATACCAGTCCGGTGGACCAGGCATAGCAGGAAGTCAAGGTGAAGTCAGGTGGCCTCCATCTGTAGCAGTGGTTTAGTTTTTGACCATCTGTTCATTCTTGGCAAGTGTGACAACTGGGTCTCAACTCTTAGGAAGAGATGGATAAGAGATAGATGTTATTTAATTTGGCTGAGGTTTAAGGGAGGTCTCCAGTTCAAATAGTCTACTGGCTTGCCAGACAGGAAAACTCAACTAAGTATCCACTTCTATGTACCAGGTTACTAGAGGGGAGGGGAGGAACAGAGCCGAGCTTTTTGAACTGTGGCTCTCAATGAACTAGTGGTATTGGAATCAGTTTAGAGGGTCCCTGCAAATATTTTTCAAGGACATTAAATTAATAGAATGAAATGGAAAAAAATAAAAGCACATTTAATGTAGTCAGGAGAAGTAAATTTTGTGAAACTTTTTTCTTCAGTTACATACTTACAAGTTATATGCTTGTAGATGCACTATATACGTCTGAGATAATATTTGAGAAGAAATGGAAATTTAGGGATGGAAAGGAAGATTTATTTTCATGTTCAATTTGAAGTTTTTATCATATGTCGAAAGTGAAAATATAAGCAACTGAATTTATTTGCAGTAAATATAATGGATAAAAGCTCATTACTCAAGTAAATTTTATAAGAAAACTACAATTTCATCAAAATAGATATGTTATTATATTGTGATATAATCAGATCAAAAATGTTTAAAATGTCTATTAATAAAAAACAAAAAAATTGTACAATTATAGCTAATCAAAAGAATGAGGAAGATCTATATGTGGCAACATGAAAAGATATCTATGGTGAATCATTCATTGAGAAATATTCAATGAGAAAGTTCCAGAATGATATGTATGTTACAGTTGCTGCAGTCTGGCTGGGCACAAATCACGAGCCACTGAAGCAGGAACAAACTTTATTTCTGAACTCCACCAGCACACTCCACACACGCTCCCTGGGAATTCTCCCGCGAACCACGCACTTGGTGTTCTCTGGGGACACACTACACCAACAGGAAATCCCTCCTCCCGCACTTCCCCAACTAATGGGAACTTTCCAGGAGTCCTGCGAGAGCTCCAAAGTAGCAGGCCGAGGCGGACAGCAGGGGTCCAATATCCAATTGAATGCAGATCTTAACATAATCATTATCATCTCAATGGCTTGCTGGCATCACCTTTCAACCAAAAATGCCATGCGGCATTCCTACTCAGCTATGGCTCTTAGCATACAGTAACATTTTTATAAATATGACACATATTTATTGTTTACAAAGTGCTTGATACTGTTGGGGATTCAGCAAAGAATAAAATAGCCCAAACTGACTTTATAGGTCAGTTGACTATAAACAAAATTAGTAAGTTTTATAGTATAGAGGTGAAATGTACAATGTAAAAACTAAAATAGGGAAAGAGAATAGGGGATCCTGGGAGATGCAGGTTGCAATTTTAAATGGAGTAATAGAAGAGACCTTCCTTGGAAGGTAACATTTGTGTAGAGATCTAGAAGAGAAGAAGAAGCAAACCATGTAGATACTGGGGGAAGAGCTTTCCAGGCAGAGAGAAGAGCAAATCAATGGCTGTGAGGAATGGGGATGCCTATATTGTTCAAGGAAGATCTGGGTCAAGAGTGGCTGGGACAGAGGAGCAGAAAGAGCATTACTTTTATACATCAAAAAACATAGGCATATACTGTTTAATAAACACTTAAACTCCCCGACCGTGGTCTGGAGAGTTTATTGCATTGACATGGCTAACTATATAAAATCTTTTGACCCTTATTTATCACTGTAAAAATATGAGGTGGTCATGATTAATTAGTTCATGGAAGAAGAAATATAGAATGAACCCTAACACTTAGAAAATTTATGTAGTTTCTTTATTGAAAAAATCAAATATTCAAGGCATGCATATTCTTTCCAACAGCTCCCCTTTTCAGACACCTGCCCTGTGCTACCTGCCCTGTGGTACTGTTATTACCTGTTATGGCTTGGATATAGTTCATGTGTGAGAAAATCCAAGAATGCTCAGAAATAAAATGATCAGGTTATGAGAGGTGGAACCTAATCAGTGTCTTAATCCACTGATATGGACTAGTTGGGTGGTAACTGTGGGCAGGTAGGGTGTGGCTGGAGGACGTATATCACTGGGGGCATGCCTTTGGAGTATGTATTTTGTCTCTACTGAGCAGAGCTCTGTTTCCTTATTGCCAGGTCCTGAGCTGCCTTCCTCCACCACACCCTTCCACCATGATGTTCGCCTCACCTCTGGCCCAGAGAAATGAAGTCCATCTCTGAACTGAGACTTCTGAAACTGTGAGCTCCAAATAAACTTTTTGTCCTCTAAAATTATAATTTTCTGCTCTTTTGGTCACAGTGGCAAAAAAGCTGACTATGACACTACCTGTACTCCCTACTATGCTGGGCGCTCTGGGAGTGCAGAGGCCATTTCTACATCTGTTCTGTTTACATATTCTCTCTGAACTCTAGCACTGATTTGGGCACTCTTGGGCACACATAATGGGCCACAGTTATAGTGCTTATCAATTCCAGAAATAGTTTTGAGCACTTGCCTGGCTTAATCTTCACAATATGCCTCTGAAGAATGTACCACTTTTGCTGCCATGTTAAACATGGTCTTCTGAGGCATAAAGAAAACAAGTGATTCACTGAAGGTCATATGTCAAAGCATTACGGCAAGAGTTGGATTGGTTTGTGTTCCGTGGAGTTAAAAAAATGAATACCATGAACAAGGATGAGATAAGCAAGCCAGCAGGAATTTTTTTAAGAAAGAAAAGTGACAGAAAGATTCAGAACTCTGGGCATAGAGCATCTGGGAGGGGCAAGAGTGCCTGTGAAGTCTTACAGCACTCCTCCTTTTAAAGGCTCATAAGGAGAAGTTGATAAGCTCCTCTTGATTGGTTTTTGATACTTCAGTTGTCCCAAGGCTGGTGCAGGCCAGATTATGGATTATGCAGTCATTTATGGTAAAATGGAAATTTATTCCATTCCTGTCTTCTAACTTGTCAGGGCATGTTAAATGGCTGTGCTCCTGCCTGCTCTCTTATCGGCCTTCACTGTCCCTTCCCTACCCTCCACTGCCTATTCTTTTCTCTTTGAAAAGCAAGAATATAAACCCAGGCATTTTGGTGGTAGATCTTTGGCTTAAGTCACTATTAATGCCTTTTAATAAAAATGCTCAAAAATTCATATGTAGGAGATATAACTTAATATTCATCATATTCATTTATAAATAAAGGAATACAATCCTTTGCTGGAGAGGCTATTAGAAAACAAGCCCACTGACCACGTTGCCCACAATCGCTCCATCTTCCAATGCAGCAGCCTCCATCTTGGGACATCAGCCAGGGCCTGGAAGCTCAATATCATGGTGCCTGCAGGTTTGCCATGCCACCACCACCATTTTGAGTCATGGCCACCTCCATCTGAGGACACTAGCAAGAGCCTGGAGGTCCATTGTCAAGGTGCCTGCAGGTTGGGAGAATATCTTTACCACATGCACCTCAGAGCATTAATCTCCAGGATATTATAAAGAACTAAAAAAAAAATGTATAACGTAATCAGTAAATGGACTAAGGAACTGAACAAACACTTCACAGAAGAAATACAACTGATCAACAAATATGTGAAACAATGTTCAATGTCTCTAGCA